TTGAAAATCGAAATTCGGAAACTCTTACGGAATTACTTTTTTGTTTTCATTGAAATTTTCTACTTTGGTGGCAGTTCGGCAACATGGCTGACCAGGATGCAATGTTTGGCTGCGCGTACCCTGCGTGCAGGCATGTGCGCGTGCCACAGCAGTTCGTACCGTAAAGCTTTACCGTTTTTTTGTGAATATGTATTACCATTTTTTGTCACTCTTTCTTGTTTGTTTGCATAATTACATTTGCATAAAGATAATCGTGTTCTTTTCGTATAAATGTATAATAAATAGCATCAAACTGCAAATTTTCCTATTTTAAAGAGGGCAATCTTGAAAACTACGCAAAAAACCGGTTATTCGAATTCTCTGATCCAAATAAAGATATTAATCGTCGCAGAAAATGGTCTGAAATAATGGAACTCTTTCTTCTAAAAGAACGGCTTAGAATTAGGACTTTGCCAAATTTGTTGTTATTTAATAGTTCAGCATGGAATAGAATCCTGCAGCCCATAAGTAGAAGACTTCTGGAGGGGATTCCTACTCCTATAGGGCACAAGTTTAGCTACCCAGTTCATCCTCTTGGGACTCTTTGGAAGACAATTTGTGTTTTTTTACTTAAAAAATGTTACAATTTCGATGTCCTTACACATTGTAGTCTCGGTTCATTATTAATGCAAATACGAATTTGTTTGCACCCTATTGAGTAAACAGCACATTTTCTATTACCATTAATAACCGAGAGAACATGTGCAGACACCGAAATTTGGGCACCCGGAGTATTTTGAACCTTTAAAAATTTAAAATTCCCGCTTCTAACCAGCCGATAATCTAGATACCTGTTTTTACCGTCAAAGCTTCCCGTTACTGACGGTCATCCGGTTGTAGCGCAACGCGGTTCCAAGTTTTAACATTATGCCGCCACCTCTCTTATTTTACTTCCTCTATGGTCGGGCCTTACATTCTTCGTGATCTTCAGCCAGCGGATCAGCATGGACACTAGATCGTCTCCCCCATGAAACTCGGCCGAGTTGGGAAACTCGTTCTCCAAGCTGCTTAGGATGTAGTTAAGCTCGGCGCTGCTATGGTAGCGGGGATTGAACACGTTCTTCTCCACCCCAAAGTCGTAGGCGCTCGCCCAATGCTGCGGATCGTCCTTCATCAGGGCTGGACTCAGCTCCAGGCTGCCGGACTCTGGAACCACCTGGAAAAGTCCCCGTTTTCAATGCGCCCTTGCCGCTTTCCACCTGCTTACGATCTGAGCGGTGTAGGGCTCGTAGCCCCTAGCGGTGAAAGTGATGTTGTAGGCGCCAGGTAGGAGCAATCTCCAATAGTCGCCGTCCTTGGCTGTTGTCACTGTGTGCTTATTGCCTTCCACCACCACTTCAGCATGGGGGATCTTCGTTCCGATCGTACTGGTCACGAATCCGTGCACTCCTATGTGAACCTGGAACAAGTCAGTGTATTTTCAGTAATAAATACATGAAAATGGACGTTTAGAGTGATTTTAAGTGATGCGGGCGCT